GGGCGTGGGTCGCGGGCCCTCTCTCTCCCGCGGAGTGGGTGGGAAGTTGCAGTTGGTGCGGTTCAGCAGCTGCGCTTGGCGTGGGGAGGAAGCGGGCCCACGAGTTCTTTTATGTCATTTAAGTTGTGGAGACACACTTAACCTGCCGCCAAGTCAGGTCAGAAGCCCCCGCAGTGTTACTCGGAGGGGGTTGGGCACAGAGCCCCGCACGTCCCCGACTAGACTTACTGCGTGGACTTGGGAGAGTCTGGCCAGTAAACGAGGTTCATGCGGTGTTCCCACTGCTCTGAATCCTAATAGCAGTAATAATAGCAATGGTAGCTCGAACTTGCAGCACTCTTAAGTGCTTTATGCGGGTACTCTTCACAGCAGTCCTAGAAGGTAGGTACCATTGTTGTCCCCGTTGTGTATAGGGGGGAAACGGAGGTCCAGAGAGGTTAAGTAACTTGTCCAAGGCCACACAACCAGGGAGCGGTGGATGCGGGATTTGAACCCCAGGCACGTCTGCCTTACCCTCTTAGTCTCTGAGCAGATCAGCTCTAAGTGTTTCCCAGTAGCCTACTTGTCCCAAGGAAGTGGGGTGTGTGCTCTTGCAGCCCGGATGTGTGCTCAGGGAACAGCCCGGTGACTGAGCTTCTTTTGGGTCCATTTCAGATAGCCATCCGAGCTTGCTTCCTTGGCTTTGTGTTCGGCTGCGGCATGTTGCTAAGTTTTAGCCAGTCTTCTTGGAGTCACTTTGGCTGGTAAGATGTATTTGGGGGAAGAGTGGTTTTGAGGCGAGGGTGGGAGGATCAGAGGGTCAGAAGTGGTATATCCTCATCCCTGTGTCTCCTCTCTGACTGGCTGAAGGCAGTTGAGGATTCTGTACGGTCTCTGATGTCCAGCTAGATCCCTATGTCTCGGACGTCAAGAACTTGTGCCCATCGGTCGCTTCTGTTGCAGGCAGAAACAGGTCTCCCTGGCACCCTCCCCATAGGCGCCTTCATCAGTAATGTGACGAGCCCTTCCCAGAAGAGGGTACAGGTCCTCAGTGACAGGAAGGGGCAAGGCTCTGGCTCATCTTCACAGGCCTTTTCCGTCTCTAATTTCTATTAGGTCACATCTAGCGCCTCCCCCACGGCCACTGTAGGATTTTCCCCTACACTATGATTTCATTCCCTTGAGCCTTCTAGTCCCTGACCTGGATATGAACCAGTGGCTTCAAGGTAAAAGGCTTTATCTCCTGTTATCAGTTCTCTAAGCCATCTAATCCTTCTTTGCTGGAGTTATTTGTTTTGCTGAATTTTTTGTATTCAACATACATCACTGCTTTGTTTTGACTGTGTTCCACTTTCATATTTTACTGTGTGTGGTATCCTTTCTAAAAGACTGAAGGGCCCATAATGCCTTCATGACCCTAGTCTGTTTGTGGGGTCTGTTACATTCAAAAGTAGTCTTTTCAAAGCCCCACCTTCTGCAGACCCGAAGAGTAACGTTACATGTGGGTGCCTGATGTCCACTCTCAGGTAGGTGACAGCAGGACCTCCTCAGAGAATTCAGGGACAGTTTGGCAGACCCAGATCTGCACTTGGACTTACGGCCAACTTGATTCCCTTGCCCCAACTTACCTCTCTTTCTTTTTGTTTTTAAATAGGTATATGTGCTCCTTGTCACTATTCCATTATTCTGAATATTTGGTCACAGCAGTCAATAACCCCAAAAGTCTGTCCTTGGATTCCTTTCTCCTGAATCACAGTCTGGAGTACACAGTAGCCGCTCTTTCTTCTTGGATAGAGTTCACACTCGAAAATATCTTTTGGCCAGGTCAGTGTGTCCCACGTTTCCCTCTGGAGGGGAGAAGGGTGGCTTCTGTGCAGGCCTGAGGGTGGTGACGTGGGCTCGCCTCCCAGGTGTAATCTCCACGAGTGACTTTCCCCAGCTCTCCGTCCTCACTAAGCTCTTTATAAAGGACAAGCACAGCTTGTGGGTTCCGCTTCCGGATTTTGAACGGAGGACATGTTGACCGTTTGCTTTAAGCCTTCCACGACGTACCGCACTACCTCATGTGAAGTCCCGACCTTCGATAGCTATAATTCTAATTTTACAGTCAGAGATTTGCATCTGTTCATTTTCTGTGACTTGAGACTTTTCGTGTCAAGATGTTATTAGCAAAAACCTCTGCACCTGAAACCTACTCTCAAATGGAACTTTCCACAGCAAATTAAGTAAAATATATGTGGTTCCCAGGATTTGGTAAAGGGCCAGAATGGGAAACATTGGATCCCTCTCTGCTTCACTTAGCTGTCCTTGTCCCCAAGGGAAGGAGGGGCATGTGACAGAGGGACACGGATGGAGAGCTCATCAGGTCTTTGCCATGATGCTCTAATTGGGTTGTTGGCACTTGAAGCAAATGAACAGCACGACTTAGGGGAATGTGTTTTGCTTATAATTAAATTTTAATGTGATGACAAATGCTAATTGCCCACTAGCATGTTTCCTAATGTTGCTGGCCTTGGAGAAATAGGTTCATTTTAAGCATCTGCAGGGGGAGCTCCATGGGCCCATGTCTTTACTTCCTGTGTGTCACACGTCTCTCCTCCAGAACTGAAGCAGATCACCTGGCTCAGTGCCTTGGGGTTGCTGATGGTGGTCTTTGGAGAATGTCTGAGGAAAGCGGCCATGTTCACAGCTGGTTCCAATTTCAATCACGTGGTGCAGAATGAAAAATCAGAGACTCATACCCTGGTGACAAGCGGAGTGTATGCTTGGTTTCGGCATCCTTCTTACGTCGGGTGGTTTTACTGGAGCATTGGAACCCAGGTACGGTATCAGAAATGACAGTGGTCGCCTTGGATGTTTTTTACATTTTAAAAAATCTAACGCCATAAGATGTACCATTTTGAAAGGTACAGTTCATTGGATCTGCAAGGTTATTGGTCTCCTTCAAATAGGTGCACGTGCCCTCTGTTGTGTTTCAGGTGGTAATGAAATAAAACCCAAAAGAACGGATTTAGTCCTTAACGGTTTTTGGGGTTTTTTTTTTGTTTTTTGTTATTTTGTTTGTTTGTTTTCACTGTGTACCTAAAATCTGGGTGTCCTAAACTTGTAAACTGCTGGCGATTCTAGGTGCTGTGACCCCATCTGCCCTACCCCTTCCCTGCTTCTTCACCTTAGATCTGGAGCGCCCTTGTGGGATGAGAACAGAGATGGGGCTTCAGGGAGAGAGAGAGCCTTCTGCTACTCAAGTGGATTCTGATTTTCATCAGAAGCTGCTCTGGTTGAGGCCTGGGTCGTGTATTAGGTTTAACGTGAGCTACCGAGGTTGGCTGTGTCTCGGGTTGCAGACTGAGCCTTGCTTCCTGACCATTGCCTCTTGAATCTGTTTTCTTGGTCCTAGAAAGACTTGGCCAGAGAATATGAACAGAGCTCAGGAAACTCCTCATCTCCTTGAGAAAATCCATTCTGGGCCCCCAAGCATTCCATTGGCAATACATGGTCCTTTGGGGACTCCCTGGTGAACCACCCCCCCCACCCATGGTGTAGAAGGGGCAGGTTACCACACAGGGTTTCTTTTCTCTTTTCTTTTCTTTTCTTTTCTTTTCTTTTCTTTTCTTTTCTTTTCTTTTCTTTTCTCTTTTCTTTTCCTTTCCTTTCCTCTTTCCTTTTTTCTCTTTTCTTTTCATTTATTTTTTTAAAGTTTGTTTTGAGAGAGACCACGCATGAGCATGAGTGGGGAGGGGCTGGGAGCCAGGGAGAGAGAATCCAAAGCAGACTCCACCCTATCAGCACACAGCCTGACTCGGGGCTCAGTCTCACGAATGGTGAGTTCATGACCTGAGCCAAAATTGAGTCGGACGCTTAACTGACTGAGCCACCCAGGCGCCCCAGGATTTATTTTAAAACTTTCATTTCTGAAACTTAAGACTGCTGCATTAACGATCATACTCCCTGGGAACAAGTTGATTATAGTTGAATCGTGTAATTTACCATAAATGCTACCTATGTATTTAAGTGCTCTAGGACTAAAGAGTTTTCGTACCTCTTTGACCATAGGTCTTTTTACACTGTGGCCCGGCACACAGACATGCATGAAAACGGAACAGGTCTTTCCCAGAGCAATATTTGTTCTTACTAGTACAAAATACTCCTGTTTTCTATCTTGTTATTTGTGATGCTGTGATGCACTAAATGGATTTCGGGGCTCAGTAACAGGTTGTGGGCTGCAGTTGGGAAACCCTAGTATAGGGTGTGTTGGGAAGCCACATGTGGTTGCTGGCTGTGAGGGCACAGGCTCTGGGGCACTGACAGGGCCAGTCCTGGCTCTCATGTTGGCTGCTTGGCCTCTCTGTCCTCACACACTGAGGACAGCAGTGCCGCCCCAGAGGTTCAGTGTAGGGGCTTATTGGTCGTAAAGGGCTTAACTTGTGCCTGGAATACGGTTAAATGCCCAGTAAGTAGTGATGGGAATAAGAAGTCAAGGGCATGTGCCTGGCTCTTGGTGGAAATCGCCCACTGGGGGAAGACATGTGTCCGTAGGGGTCCATCAGAAGGGGCAGGGGTGGAGTAGTGGGTTTCCCACACAGCACAGGAAGTTCCTGAGAGCCGGGAGGTGTTCTTGGCCTGGAGGGACTGTTTGGCTGTGGATCAGTGGGGAAGACATTCTTAAGAGTGGGGAAAACACATGAGTAAGGAAGTGAGAGGCAGTCAGAGTGGGTACAGCCCAGAGAAAAGGGGCCAGAGGAGGTGGCCGAGGTGCTGCTTTTCTGGGTTGGGGCAGGGGAGTGGTTTGAAGAAAGAAGTGATTTCATAAGCTCAGGTAGCAGTGGATCTGGTACAGGGATGGGCTGGGGCGGCAGGGGGGTGGGGGGGTGCGGGGCGGGGGCCGGGGACCAGGCAGCTGCAGGCTGGAGGGGGTGCCTGGAACAGGAAGGGACAGGCTAGGAGCCCCACGGGGAGCTGCCGTCAGCCTGAGGACTGAAATCTGAGAAGTTGATGTTTTAATTTTTAGGTACCTCTCACATAAGAGGAACAACAGAAAAGCGTATGAAAGAAAACTGCCGTGATGAGCGTTTAGCTCTAATGTGAAAGCGGTGGGGTGGTTTCAGTGCGTGTGCCCTGGCCGCTGCTCTCAAAGACCCCGATAGTATTTGAGAATCTCTGGGGCCCTTCCCTTGACAGGAAGTCGTCCGCGGGTGTTCAGGAGAAGCAGTGCTGCTGACGTTCGTGGTGTCGGAACACTCTGACCCCGATCGACTTTGTGTCCCCTGTCAGGTGATGCTGTGCAACCCCATCTGTGGCGTTGGCTACGCTCTGACGGTGTGGCGATTCTTCCGAGATCGGACAGAAGAAGAGGAGATCTCATTAATTCACTTTTTTGGAGACGAGTACCTGGAGTATAAGAAGCGGGTGCCCACAGGCCTGCCTTTTATAAAAGGGGTCAAGGTGGAGCTATAACACAGCCGGAGCAGGCCAGGCTGGGCCGAGGGGCCTCCCCCCTCCACACAGCCCGGGACAGAACTGCCCCCGGCAGCCACGCCGCAGGATGGATTTTCTGAATCATTTTACGCGTCACCAGTTACTCTTCTGGAATATCACTCAAGACCAAACGGTCAGAAGGCCTTAGGACCAAAGGACCCCATACCCTAGAGCAATCTGTTCTTGGGCTCAATCAAGGTAGGACATAGATTAAAGGTGGGCAAGGAGCAAATAACAGCAATATTCACCAGTGCCCCTCCAGAAGGGCCCTGGCGAGAGCCCATGGCCCACGAGGTATTTAGTGTAACCAAGACCCCTCGGGAGAGGTGGGCTCACTCATGATGTCGAGTAAGGCTTCTTCTGCAGGAAGGGGTATGTGGGCATCAGTGCTTAGTGTTAGAAATTCGTTCAGAATCTTTAACCGAAAAACACAAACAGCACAGCTTCGACCTCCTTCTTTCTGTGCTTAAGTGCATGAGCATCTATACAGTTTTAAGATAATTCTTTATAAGGCACTTTGGCTCTTAATATATTTAATCGTATTTACATATCTATTTTTTATAAATAGCAGTATAGATTCCGAGGGGACTCACTTGGTGTTTATAGCCCCAACTTTTATCTGGCAGAATGGACACCTCCAGACAACTTGGCTGAGTGGCTTTGTGTTCACAAGGGCACCCCTGGCCAGGGAGACTGGACCCCTGTGGCTTTCCCCGGGGTCCTGGCTCCCACTCTTCTCCCCAGAGGGGGCTGTTATCAGTGACACAGGCATGTCAAAGGGGTGTCGTTTTTCCTTTAACAGAGAAATGCTCACTGAGCACGTGCTCTGTGTAAGGCGTCGTCAGACACCGGGAAGTATTGCTCTCCGTTGGTTTGGGATTTCAGTCTTTCACCATAGCTTATACTTTTCTGTTTCATTTGAAATCTCTCAACTGTTGATTTCTGTGTTCTGTTCTCAGAACTTCACCATCTCTAACATCATCTCACACTATCTTTCCCAAGGGGGTTTACGCACACACCACTGCAACATTCAAGCAAGTCAGTGTACGAGAGTCTTAAATAGAGCAAATGGTCCCGACGGAGATGTAGTCGGTATTTTTGTTTTTCAAGTTTGGGGAAAGTGGTTGGCTTTAAGTACGTAAGCTTTAGGACCCTTGTTTAATTCTGGACCAGAGAGGGCCTTGGTCTCCGCGTGGAATCCTTCCTGCAGTTCCGCAGTGGCGCTAACGGAGCCTGATTACGACGGCCGCGGCGGCCCCGGCTGGAGGGCTGCTGTGCTGCCACGCCGTGCCGGGCGGCTTCGAGGAGCCACTTAACCTTTCCGTGCCTAGACTCCCCATCCGTAGAATGGGGTCAGTACCACCTACCTCATAGGGGTGTTGTGAAAACTTAGAAGAACAACGTCAAACGTTTTTAATACTTAGATGAGAGAGAATGGCGTAAATGAAATCTATCCTGTGTCAGAGTCACACAGACGTGGACGTTGCTTAGCTGTACCAGACGCTGGAAACGTGTGTTCGGAAGAGCATTTTACCAACTCAGAAACATCACTTGTTTCTAGATTTCATGGCCTAATTAATTTTTTTGTTATTATGTATACCAAAGAGGTTTACGGGTTTGTTGATTCCTGGGATGCCGCTCGCCCGTGTGAGCGGACTCTACCATCGGCCCTCGTGAGGGCCTTGCAGCCAGGCCGGCCGAGGCCGCCGCTGGAGCACTCAGCAGCAGGTCCTTCTGGCACGAACACTCCCCAGTGGGACTCAACATGCACTTACTCTGGGAACTCCAGTTGACTCACTTCTGACTTGTTCTCCAGACCACGCTTAGCAAAGTCAGCTCCGCTCATTGGGACTGCAGAATGGAGGAGGGTGTGGCTGGGGTTTTGGCAGCCATCCCCAGCTGCTTGAGGGAAAGTGCTGTGCTGTATCTACCGGGATTGGACCCAACTTTCATTCCCACTGAGGGCTGTGAAGCTGTCTTTAATAGATGGAGAACAGCTAATGATGGCCCCCTGGCTTTGTGGACAGAAAGTCTAAAGGTGTTGGCGTTTGGTGATCTCATCTTGCCCCACCTGCTAGAATTCTCAAAGCCCACCTTCCTGCCGGGCCCCTGAGCCCAGAACGTGGGCCTGGTGTTTTGTGGCGAGGTGCTGCTGTTACATCACCTGGGCTTTAAAGAGCTCTTCCAGGGGCGGGACTAGGGGGGCGCCCTCACCCCGACTTGTACACCCAGGGCAGAAGTCAGCAGTTACTTAGGGAGAAAAGATGAACTGCTTAGGGGCAGGATTTGGCAAGTGATTGACTTTCATCTAGTACTGACATTTTCAGATTATTTTTAACTTTATAAATTTAGCAGTGACAGTGTGCATGCAGAGAATCAGGTTAATGAAGTGCAGGCTTTTGGGGTATTCCCAAAAGCTTTTGGGTAAAGGCCACGTCACCAGTTCCCTCAAATTAAGAAACTGTCAAGAGATTACTTACTTTTTCCATTGCAGGTTTTAAAGTGGAGATTCTTAAATGGAAAAAAAGGCACTGCACAGAACAAAGCTACTTTGAAGCAGCGTAAAGTGAGACGTTTTATGAGGATTTGCAGGCTGTGGCCGAGAATAGCAGCTCGCAGAAAAGAGGTAGTGAGTGGGGTGAGCCTGGCCGAAAGCGAAAGGCAGCGTACCCCACTGCCCCTTCATCTGTATGAACTGCTTCTTGAGCCTCAAAACTAAACTTGATTAGTCCCTTCCGTTTATTTAACACTCTGAGTGATGGATACGATAGGGAAGTATTCCTAAACCAATACACGTGTTCATAGCTTAGGCTCAGGAGGGCCGGCCACAGCTCCAGCTTTTTGGTAGCAGCCCCTCCGTAATAGGCACAGTGACCCCCACTGTCCCTTCTCTGCACTTTCTTACTGCCTTAGATAGTTGCAATCTCCCACCACATCTTGCTCCTGTAGTGGCTCGATGAGGTTGGTGGGAGAGGCTTGCTCTCTGCGCCCTGCTGTGAGAGCTTGACGCCTTGTCCTGGGCTTGGAGGGCCAGCCGGCAGGGGTGGTCCCAAGCGCTTGCTCTAGAGGAAGCCGTCCCATAGCTAGGAGAGTAATTTAATGGAGTAATTATTTTACTCTTCTTTTTACATGCAGAAATGTTTATTTAAATATTTTAAATTGGATTTTCTTTCACAGATACTGATTATTTCCAATTCTTAAATAAAACTGTACTTGATTTCACTATGAGCGGTAGCGTGATTGTGTGGGATGTAGGAACTCTAAGATCACGTCGTCACTGGCTAAGGAATGTCCGGGACCTACAGCATAAAACCAGATGTGTTTTGCCCCTTCAATTCAGTCTTGAATTCTAATTTGTAGCCAGTTTGTTGTGACGAGTTCCTCCTGCCTTTTAGGCTCCCATGGGTTTAGGCTTTGGAATGAGGAAATCAGTGCTCTGAACGCAGGGGCAGAACGGTGGATGTTGACGTGACATTTTCACGGATTGATGTGCTGCCCTACCTGGCACATGGAAGCCATTTGCTGTTTGTTTTTTGGTGGTTGTTTTTTTTTTTTTTTTTTTTTTTTTTTTTTTTTTTTTTTTTTTAAAGTTTATTTATCTATTTTGAGAGAGAGAGGGAGAGTGCAGGTGGGGAAGGGGCAGAGAGAAAGGGAAAGAGAGAACCCCAGGCATGCTCCATACCACCGAATGCACAGCCCAATGCAGGACTTGAGCTCATGAACTGCAAGATCATGACCTGAGCCAAACCAAAGTTGGACACTTAACTGACTGAGCCAGCCAGGCGCCCCATCCGTTTGCTGTTTGAACCACCACATCGAGCTGGATATTTCCTTCAAATGTGACTGTGTGGACATTTTAACTCAAAAACTTAAAATTTTAGGTCATCTGGGTTAATTTTCCTCTTTAAAGCATTTATGAAATTACGCTTGATAGAAAGGACACCATGTAGGAGTAGGAATTTCTGGAGAAAGGATTCTGAGTCGTCCTTTAGTAATACCAGTAGAAGGTGAACACGAGAGTGACCGTTGTCTGGAGAAGCAGCAGAAAGTTGTGGGGAAGTTGTACTGACCCTCTCCTGCAGCCCGTGCCACTGGCCGCCTCTCCTTTGCCCTGGCAGCTCAGTCCTCCTTGACAGGAGAAAACGGGAGTGACAGTTTTCCCTTTTGCTGAGTCAGTGCTCAGATTACCGGCTGGAACTTCCCAGCGGGGCCATGGCTCAGGACACCCTGAATTCTTGGGAGGCAGGCACGGCAGGGCTGTCTGAGCACGGCCCCTGACGGGGGCAGGGCCTGGCGCTCCCGCGAAGGAGGTGCCAGGCCAGCGAGGGGCTCGCACGGCACGTTCACGTGTTCACTCTTTCCAGGCGGACTGGGGCGTCGCCCCCAGTCCCCATGAGGAGGACTGAGACTTCATGCAGTGCAAACACAGGGAAGAGTGAAACTTAAGCCAAAGAATCTGAGATTAGGACTGGTCGGAGTGTCTGGGTTTTTCCGCTGATTGGTGATTACCCCTTAAGACATACCTGGTGGGAATAACCTTTCTTAAATATCCCAGTCTTGACCTGCGTGCTGTGAAATGCCCACCCCTCCGGACCAGTCCCGTTTGCTAAGTCGGGCGCTCTCTCTGTGTTGGGCCCTCGCCCCCATTTTTCGGTTTGGGTCTGTGAGGGTCTTTGTTTTTCAGTGGAGGCTCTTCTTTGAGGCTGTTTGGAGTCCGGCTGTTCCCTCTGGGTTCTGACATCTCTCTCTTCTCTGCGACACTCACCGGGTCATTCCTAAAGGGACACTTGGCATGAGTGCTGCCTGGCACCCCCCATTTCACTGTGTGCCAGCACCAGCATGGCTCCTGGGATGGGAAGCCTTTCTGGACGACACCAGTGGGTGAACCGGAACCTTCTCTCCTAAAGGATTCTCCTCTCGTCTCTAATGGTTTTTAGTTGCCAAACATCGGCTCAGGCTATGTCTGTGGCTCGCGACAACAGCTTTGAATGGACAGTCCTCTGACGCATCTGAGCCGAGCGTGGTGCCCAGGAGGGTGAGACTAGTTTCTGCTCTGTCACCAGCCACTCTAGACCGTGGCAGGTGCTCTGTGCCCTCCAAGCTCTCTTAGCTCTGGTCTCCTGCAGCCCTGGTCTCTGCCCCGTGCGCAGCAGGCTTAACTGAGAGCAAAATACTACAAGATCAGCTCGTGACGGTGACGGATCTGTTACCATACATTCTTCTCTTTCTCTGGCAAGGATTTTGGCAAACCCCGTGGTTCCAGTGACTAGTGATGCTCCCACTTGGAGGAGAGAACCCTCAGTTACTTTTCCTCATTCAAGTGAATCTGACTCACTTGGTGTAAATGCCTATGAGCCAGCAGCCCTCAGTGGCATGAGTGGTGCAGGCAGCAGCCGTGGCCATCTGCAATTCTGGAGTGCGGGTCACGTCTCCTCTATGAAGCCGCCATTCGGGTTCAGAACCCCTCTGACCCGTGTTTTACAAACAGACCCAGCCAAGGCTCTAGAGCTGGTCAGCGGCAAGCCTGGACCAAATGGGATAGAAAACCGGGACCTGTCTCTGAGATCAAATCGGCTGGAAAGACTCGCCTTACCTGGCCTGGGTCTCAGCACTGACGTCCTCCTCGTGTGTGTTCTGTAGGTGGTCCAGCTGTTCCCCCGCGGGCACCTGAAGCCTGTGCGGGAGAGACCGTTCCTGGGAGGCTTGAAGGCAGCAGAGCCAGTCACTGTCCTTCAGCCCCCTCTTCGGACAAGACCAAACTGAATGAGGCACTCGGGCCTGCCTAGGGCTTGGGTCTCAGCTGTTTACTGAGGGCCAGAGCTGCTCCCGGGGACGGCAGCTGTGCTGTGGTTGGGAAGAAGGCACCGCGGGGCCAGGTGGTGGGGAATGGCAGGAACGGACACCTGCGTGTCCCAGGATCCCTGGGACAATCTGGGAAGGGGGATCCGGTCTGGCTTCTCTGGGGAACTGAAAGGCCATTATGACTGGGGTGTGGCCAGGGGCTGCCGTGGTCAGAGGTGGACAGGGAGGGTCCCAAAAGGGCTGTTGGGCCCCGGAGTGATGGGAACTCTAGGCTCTAAGAAGGCCACTAGCTGTGGAACACCCTAGAAGGGCCAGAGAGGGTCAGTGACGGTGGCGTGGCCTGGGGCTGCCGTGGGGACAGTGGGCAGAGACAGTTACGTCAGCAGGATTCAGGGTATGTAGGAAATGGGGCGAAGGAAGGAAAGGAATCAGAAGGCCCCCTGGCCTTCTCACTTGGGCGGATGTGATGCCACTCCCGAGGGGTACAAACAATGGCACGTTTGGGGGAGGAAATGGGGTTCTGCCATTGTGGGATCTGAGGCCCCCATGACCTGTCCAAGTGGAGACATACCCCGCCCCAGGAGGAGGCAGCTAGAGAGGGGTCTGGAACCCAGGGGGGCCTATACTGGGGAGGGCTCGGGGGTGGTCAGTGGCACACTGGAGTTTTAAAGTGGGGGGACCAGATGGAGCCCCTTAAGCATAGGGTGTGGGATGGGGAGAGGCTCTAGGACTGAGCCCTGCGGAAAGCTGACACTTGGGCACTGAGCAGAGGTGGCAGAGCGGCCAGTCTGTAAAGGGACAGCCTGAAGGGCAGGAGGCAAACAGGTGTGGGCTGCCTCAGAAGCAAGACAGGAGCCTGGTGAAGACAGTGGCCTGCTCTTGAGCGCCAGGAGAGGCCAAGGGCTGCAGCCAGAGGTCGCGGAGGACAACAGGCCACAGGAGCGGGCTCAGTGGGGACGGGGGTGGCGGGGGCGGGTTGCGGGCACTGGGAGAGGAGGAAGCAGAGGCAGCAACGCCAGATGCTGGAAAATGGTGCCATGAAAAAGGACAGAGGCAGCCAGCCTCCCCCGCCCCCCCAAACCTCCAGGAGCTGGGCTCCAGCCTGAGCTCCTCCTTTCCCTTTGCCAAAACCCACCGCTGGCGCCACGTCCCCAGAGACAGGCGGGCAGGAGCACGTCCTTGAAGCTAGTTCCTCGCCGAAGCAGCACACAGAAGGAAACGTGCGCAAACTCTAAGAACGAGGCTCGGGACAGGCACGTGGCTTGCACAAATGGGGCAGTGGCACCCGGAACGTCTCCTCCTTCCAGAGCCCCCCACCCCCACCCGGGGATGACCACCATCCCGACTGCTAATGCCAGAGGTGGTTCTGTCTGGTTTTGACGTTTCATAAACGTCTCATAAACGGAATCACGCCGTCTGCGGAGCAAGCGACTCGGAACGGCAGCTTCGGAGCCGACGCGGCAACTGGTCCCGGGTAGACAGGGATTTCAGCGCAATTGTGCAGAGGCCAGGCTGCGTTTCGCCTCTCCGTGCGCATGTCAGAATAGTCACCGGAGAGGTGGCTTGGCAGTTCTGGAGGAACACGGTCACCGCACACTAGTTTTCCTTCTTCCTCAAACTCACGAAATCTCCAGGAAAGGGGCCAAAACAACAGGGGAAGGAGCCTCTCCAGGTTGAGGAGAGAAAAGGGTAACACCACAGTTTTGGAAGCTGGAGGGTCAGTGGTAACCTCAGCAGCCGGGAGAAACCCGAGCTTGGAACGGACGCGGGACACGCCCGACCCTACTGCCTTCACACCACGGAATCGCCTCTACCAGGGAGGACGGGACAGAAATAGGGAGGGGGCCGCCTCAAGCTCCCCACGGCCAAGCGGCCTCCCCTCCCCCACCCCAGCCCCCTGAAGGGTTGGTCTCTGCGAAGGTACCAGGGTACAACACGGGTGGGAAACGAAAACCAGGGCTGCCTGCAAATGCTCCACATAGCGGCCGCCAGGAGGGACACTGGGGAATGACAGGAAAAAAGCACTGCCCACCCTGGTCCCCCCACCCCCCTGCAGTGAAGCTCTGAGTTTCTGGCCTGCCCCCTCTGCCCCCCACCCC